GGGTGGGGGGCGGGGGGCCAAGGGAGCAGGTGTAAAGTGCCTCGGAGGCTGTCACGGGGGCCTGAGTTGCGGGCCAGTGACCCCTGATTGCGGAGCCCAAGGCATGGGGCAGCCACTCTCCAAGCCGCAGGCCCGTTCCTTTGGGGGAATAAACATCACCCCTCCCCGGTTTGGGCTTCCGAACCCCGGGGGCTGCCTCGCCGGAGACAGTGCCTGGGACATGCGCGTGGTCCCTGGGGGCCAGGCCACCGCCCGCCGCCCCCCTCAGCCCTCGCCTCTCCTTCCAGCACCCCTACCCCACGGAGGATGAGAAGAGGCAGATCGCGGCCCAGACAAACCTCACCCTCTTGCAAGTCAACAACTGGTGAGTTAGCATCGTCCACCCAGAGGCTCTCAGATGCGGGGCCACGTGCCTGGCAGGGGACGCACCGCATGGAGAAGAGACTAGAATGCCCAGTCCTGCCTCAGCGCCAGCCCCCGCTGGGCTGGCAGCAGAAAGCCAGAATGGGCACAGGCCCCTGTGGCCTCATTCGCAGCTTCCTAGCGCCCTCTGCTGGGAAACTGTGGCAGGAGCATCACTGGATAGAAAACCCAGCCCCACCTGCACTGCAGGCCCACACAAGGCCCGCATCCAAGGACTGGAGGGGCCACCAGTGCTCACCTGGCCCGCCCCCACCTATGTGAACTTAACGCAAACTAAGACATCCTGCAAAGGTAGGAGTGGGGAGCAGGAGGAAGAGTCGGCTGTCCTGACCGCACAGGGACCTCAGTTTCCCCTTCTCTGGGCCTGGCTGGGCTGTCACAGAGGTCCCAGAGAGGTCTGCCTGGATGCGTGTGCACCCGGACTTGGGCTCGCTGATCGGAGCCTCAGCCCTCTGGAGAGAAGTCAGAGGTCCGTGCCTCTGACTAAGGGGCCCTTCCTTCCTCTAGTCAATCCCGACAGGCCTCCAGCAGGTTTCTGACCCCCCTCATGCATTTGTCCCCGGCTGCTTTGCGGTTACCAAGCTATTCCATGAGCTCCTCAGTGCCCAGGGCCTTTTCCCCGCTGCGCTTTCACTCCCCAGGTCAGACCCGTCTGTTCTGTACAGCGGACCAGCCGCTGAGTCTGGAAGCAGCCTAGCCCTCTCCGCTCGCACGCGCACGTGTGTGCACGCGCATGAGCACACATGAGCACACATGAGCACACGTGCACACCCATGCACGCGCATGCACACCCCGCCACCACCCAGGCGTGACTAACCAGGTCCCCCCTTCGCCCCGGCAGGTTCATCAATGCCCGGAGGCGCATCCTGCAGCCCATGCTTGATGCCAGCAACCCAGACCCTGCCCCTAAAGCCAAGAAGATCAAGTCCCAGCACCGACCCACCCAAAGATTCTGGCCCAACTCCATTGCTGCGGGGGTGCTGCAGCAGCAGGGTGGCGCCCCGGGGACAAACCCCGACGGTAAGAATGGGGCTGAGCATGCTCTAGGCTGGGGGTTGGGGGAGGTGGCCCCCGAACTGCTTCCGAACAGCTGTGCAAGGATCCAAGGGCTGAACATCTACTCCCCGAGAGGCAAGGGCTGCTCGGCCACAAAGTCATCCCTCCCCAGTCCCTATTGAAGAGGAGTTTTTGCATATATTTTAACAAGCCAAAAGCAATCGCACAAAGACCAGTGGGTGTCAGTGGTCATCCGAGCCAGTGACTGCTCAACAGGGCCCCCTCCTCACTCCCACACCCGCCCTAAGTTCCTTAGAGCCCTTGGTGCCTACACAGCTCCCCAAGAGCCTGTGCCATCTATAAATACCGGACAGGCAGCCGGCCTGCGCTCGGAGGCCAGGAAGAGCTTTGTTTTCCCAGCTTCTCCTCACACCCTTCACATACACTGCTTTAGCTGCCGGTTGCCCGGTGCATCATGAATAATTCAGTGAGCCAGACATTTCCCAGCCCGGCACACGAGGACAGCTCTGCGTGGGAGGCGGGGGGAGGTGTGCGTGTGTGCGCACAGGCCTTCGTGTGCACGGGCATTTGTGTGGTTGCATGGCCGTTTGTTGTGAGGTATAGTGGAAAACCAGGTTTTGAGCTCGACCAACCTGGGCGATCAAGGCCGTCACCTTGAGCTAATGACTTAACCGTCTGAGACTCAGCTTCCCCCTCTTTAGAAGAGATCATAGCACCTCCCCTACCGCACTGTGAGAAAGTCAGAAGTATTTAACACATGCACATGGAAGACCCTGGTGAGCGGTCGCCAGGAGTGCTGCTGCTGCTGGGGTGGCCGGGGACAAGTAGGGGCCGGGGCTCGGAGCTGGGAACTGTCCAGCTCGCCGCCCACCGCGGGGGCCAGTCCCTCCGACTCGCCGGCCCCAGGCCCCGGGCCTGACCTTTGCCCTCTCCCCTCTCTAGGCTCCATCAGCCTGGACAGCCTGCAGTCCCTGTCCTCAGACAACGCCACCATGGCCATGCAGCAGGCCATGATGGCCGCGCACGACGACTCGCTGGACGGGACGGAGGAAGAGGAGGAGGAGGAGCTGGAGGAGGAAGAGGAGGACCTGGAGGGGGAGGCCGACGAGCTGCCCGCCGCGGCCGTCAGCGACCTGGGCTTGGAACACAGTGACTCCCTGGAGTAGTTGGCGGCCCAGCTGGCACCGATCACCACGCGGGAGAGAGTGTTGCCAGGAGGGTTTTGGGGTGGGGGGGAAGGGGACATGGGCAGGCAGCACTGGGAGGCCGGGCCCAGCTTCCCAAAATCAGTAGCTTGAGGAAACGCAGAGGAGACACCTCCTCCTTCCCAACCGCCAAGCTCCCGTGGCACCCCAGCCCCGCGTCCCCAGAACCGCGGAGGACTCTGTCTGGTGGCGCCAGTCAAGCAGCCTGCATGGAAAGGCAGGAGCGAGACCTGGATTCGTCAAATCCCCGAGGACAGATGGCGCCCCAGGCCCCCTGGCTGAAGGACTTGAGTTGTCACGAGCCCTGCGCTGTGAGGCAGATCAGCGCTGTTCTCAGAGGGAGCCTTTGCCGGGGGACGGAGTTAGGAGAAAAGGCAAACGCAAAGGGGGCTCGGGTTCCACCCCCAAAGGCTCGGCTCCTTTGAGACATTCAAGGGCAGGAGGGAGCCCAAACATTTAGCCAGCGGCTCGAGTGGGAGGGCCTGAGGCATCGCACCTCACAGATCAAGTGAGCCCTGGATTCCGTGGGGCTCCAGCTCAATCTTCCGAGGCCCCATCGCTGGGCTCAGGCCACCGTGGACTCGGGAGAGAGAGGGATGGAGCCACCGGAGCCGACTCTCTCCCTCTCTCTCTCCCTCTCCCTCTCCCTCTCTCTCCTGGAAACAAATGGTAAGCTGGTGGGCTCAAACTGTAGGAGATCAAGAGGGGCCCCTTCACCCGGGTTGGCTCCAGGACCCAAGGAGGTGGCAGAACCTGGGCCAGGAGACATATCAAGGTGACCTTGGGAACGACAGCTGTTCCTAGGGGTTCACAGAACTCAGCTCCTATAGCTACAGGACAGTGGTGTCTTCTCCCAGGTGTCCCAGCCCTCAGATGTCCCACGCCCTCCGCAGGCCACCAGGAGGGTGGAGCGAGGTTAGCTTGGAACCCTTGCACCCTCGGCCCCCACGCTGGCCCTCCGCTCCCGCTGGCTTCACCGGCCCCAGCCTCTCTTCACTTTACCCTTCCGAGAAGGCAGAAGAAACATTGGGGAGAAGCAGCCAGCGCAGTGAGGAGCCAGGGCTTGGAGAAGGTGCTACTTACCTCCTCCCTCCCATTTCCAAAGGGGGGGGCCCAGAGAAACGAGCCCAAGAGCCAAGTGGTGCCCCAGCCCGGCCCACCCGCCTCC